GAAAAGCAGCTAGGAAAGTACTCCATAGCAACGGCCACATCTTAATAGAAGATCATCTCCTGGACATCTCCCTCTGCATTTCTGCAATTACCAACTATGTCTCGTACCATCTGCAATTATATAAAATCCCTCTGGCAAGTACAGCTATTGCTTACATGGAAAATTAATGTAGTGGAGCAACAGGACCTAATAACTAAATATAAGAAATGTGAGTTATTACTACATTACTATTTGCCAAGCTTTATGCCCGCTACCAGGAACCATTGAGCTGATCATAGTGTGAAGTAATTTTGAATTCCTTGACTTAATAATATAAATCATAACTCTCAGATTTAATATTTTCTTTGCACACTAATGCAGACCTTTTCCCTGCCACTTGACACTAAAAATGCAGCAAGGTAAGAGGCTGTTTTCAATACCAGAAAGGAATAAACTGATCTGCTCAAAGCACAGTGTGGGAGTCAGGTTATGTTGGGAGCAGCTGTGACCACAGGAGGAATAGGTGCGTCTGTTCCCTGGGTGCTCCAGGGTGCATCAGGCTTGTTTCAAAGCACACTTCTTCCATATTGCTGGGAAAGAGGCATTTATGTTTCCTGATGCTGTGTCATACTGCTGTTGGGCTACTGGTTTTATAAATCAAAAAGCACTTAGATTCTATTTAAAAGAAGCAGGTTTTGAAATGCATTATGTTGCAGGTTAATATTATCCCTAATCTACAGATTAATAATGATTTTACAAACTTTGGCTTTTTCTTTTGTCCCAGCATCCATTAACTGCATGAATGACTTCCCAATCTGGGTTAAAAAGGTGCAGTTATCATAGTGGCTCTCATTTACGTCTCAAAAAATTTAAGGTGTTTGCCTTCTTTTTTAAAAAAGTCTCATTTTATTTAAAGTATTTTGAAAGCAATTAAACATTTTCTGACAGTGGGTATAAACATTGATAAAAAATTTCCATAACTGACATTTTTCTAGAAGAAAGCAATGATAAATGGCATACATGTTTGAAATAGTTGCACAAATTATCATCTTAGGGAAAACAATAAGAAGTCGGATGCCTAGAAAGATTTGGAACAAAGTAAATTATTGGTACTAACTTACCTCTGAGAACCAGCCTGGGAAAGAAATCCCAGACATCCACTTTTTGTGCCCTGGAAGTATTAATCTCACCATATCAGCACCGGTCAGCACATCTGCTACAGAACAACATGCTTGGCAATTAATAGAGTCACCAGTGCCTTGACAATGTCGAGGCAGGAGGAAATGTTCTGAAGAGGGAGGATATCCCAATTGTCATGACTTGGATGTCAGAGCAAATATTGACTATTTGAAAATGGAATTAATCCTGGTCACCTGTGGCAGACAAAGAACGGCTGAGTGTAAAACAGCAGCTCAGTTCAGGTTTGAAACCAAACTAAATTCTCTTGTGGTCTAGATAGGAGATAAAAAGAGATCATTAAGCTCAATGGTTCTGACCCTTAACCGAACAGGTACCAAACTGGTGCTTCCAGCACCAGTTTGTAGGAAACCTTAGTTGCAGAACTTCCTGATCTTGATGGGCTAATTTCGAATACCAAGGAAGCTTGAGTACCTTCAGAGTGGCTCGAAAATAGAGGGAAGTGAAAGCAAAGGCCTAGCCCACACACATACAAATCCTGTGATTCATCATTCCTCAGATGGTAATGACACCGGTGGATTACAGCAAGCTGCTGGAAGGCCAGGGTCATAGACCTCTGAAAGTCATAGCTAATATTCCCCTGGGACAGACAGTAGGTCTGTGGGTTATCATGCACATTAGAAGCGTGATGAGCACTGAGTGAATTTGGTATGAGGTCACTGTGCCCCTCTGATGGTGAAGGCAAGAATGTCACTAGCATGATACACAGTACAGGTATATTTATGTGTCACTGTCACCTGAAGCTAAGAAGCATGGATTAGTCACAGGGTCTGCAAAGAGAGAGGAGGCTGAGCAGCTGAAGGAGGTTCAGATAACCCCTTCTGAGAAGCAGGTCATGTTTGAGGAACCTGTACTTTCTTTTGACCATGTGAAGGTTGAAGGGAAACAGCAGGGATCTGCTGGTTAGGCACACAACATCCTGAAGGAATATTTCAGCAACCTACAGCAACCTAGGACATGCATTCTCAGTAACCAATAAACACACAACAACAAAGAAATACTAGTGACAAAAGAGGTGACACATTTAGAATTAGGATAGCTATCCCAAAGTGAAAATGCTTATCTAAGTTTAGGAGGATTACCCCCAGCCACAGCCCTTCCCACACTGCTCTGCCCTCTCCCAGGTGATATTTCCTTCTCCAACACCTCTGCTGCATAAACAAGTTAAGTGTTTGTATTCTCAATCACTCAGAACTTTCTTCTGCAAATAGTCCCTTGAGGTTGTTAGAACTGATTATAGAATCAGAGTGTCAAAATAAAGTAAGAGTAAATAAATGGAAGAATATGAATTGTTTATGTTAGAAACAAAGACAGTGGAACCCTGGAAAGGTGCTTTTTATCATTCTATAGATATATAAATACATCACAACTGCCAAAGAGAATAAAATCTAAGCCAAGATTTGTTTTAATGAGGTAGTTCATGTAGTGTAGTTTCACAGGCTTTTGTAGAAACTTCTAGACAGTCATGACACATTGTGTGCTTTTAAAATGGGCACTCTTTGTAGACCCAGCAGATGTTCAGTATGATAAATCTGTGCTTTGGTGGCAGATGAGCCAGCCAATGCTAACATTACACATTATCCACAGCAGTCTTCATGCTAGCATCCTATTCCATGGACAAATTGTTCAGGGCCTCTGCAAATTCAGGCAGCTCCCACTCCAGAAATTCTCATCAATTGAAAAGGCTTTGAAAGTTAAAACTGAAAGTTTTGAAGGCTTTCTTCAAAAGCATAAAATCCATAGACTCCACTTCAAACAAGACAAAATGAATAATGATAGTAGAAAGCAACCTTTGGGCTGCAAAGGACTTTAAAATCATCTAGTTACAACCCACAATTCCCTACCCCTTGCAGCCTTCCATCAATCTCATTAGACAATGTTGCGCATTCTTTAATTTTACATGGGCCTTTACAGCTCATATCAACAGAGATATTTGAGGGAGGGCTAGTTTTGTGGTATGGGTTTGTTTTGTTTTTTGTTTGTTTTGTTTTTTTAATAAAGCTTGTGTGGGTGACTGGAAAACAGAGTGTGAAGAGCCAAGCACTGGAGGACCAGTTCTGTTGGGTACTCTGCACAGCATACAGAAAAGGTTACTGCGTGGGCAGCACTACCAGCAAGGAAAAAGGAAGTGGGGCAGCGCAGAGGAGGAAGAGGAGGAGGAGGTGGGAAGATGTGTGTGGATAGGAACACAGGGAAAGCAGAGTGTGTCCTCAGCTTCATAAGAAGAGCCATGGCAGATGGCCCAGTAAGGACTGTATCTATATTCTTAACTTAAGGACAATCAGGGACTATAGGGTACTTACCCAGCAGAGAGCCTTTGTTAGGCAAAAGTGCCCCACTGCATGATATGCAGGGTACAATTAGCAGCACTCAGGGAGTGCAGTCAGGACTAGGCTGCATTGGACTGTGTGGTGCACTGAGAAGTAACAAGAGATGTCTCAGGAGACACTGAGTTTAGCCTATGTTAAAAACCAGACCAGGTCTGACCATTTAGATGGATGAGAGCACCACAACTCTAATGCCTGAAACACTTTTTGAAGGGATATTTCTCAGACCAGCCACACATTTTACATAGGTTGTCCTCACTCTCCTGCTTTTTCTTTTGCTTTTAAACCCTCTTCTTCCTTTCTGCTTTCTATTTTGTATGAGAAAGGCCCCATGAAGATACACTGATACTCAGCAAAGTAAGAAGAGCTGGAGCTCAGAATGGTTGGTGAGAAAAGCAGGAGAGAAACTCCTTGTCATCTAGTAGTAACGGTATTAAGCCACTTGACACCTGGTACAGTTCTACCCATGAAAGAACAGCAAGGGACACTATGGAGGAGGCTATGGGCTGACATTCTGCTTTGAGTACTGAAGAAATAGGATGCTCCATTCAAATGACAGTGGCACAAGAGCCTGGGAGCATGAGCAAGCCAGGAATCTTCCAGGACATTCGGAACTCCAGCTGCTTCTAGTCCCACCATTGTAAACACAGTGGCAGTCTGGTCTGACTCGTCTGTCCTGCACCCAAGATCCGCTGCAGCAGCTCCTCTTTTCCACTGGCAGCTGGTGGGCAAGGCAACTAGGGGAGGCAGGAAAGGTGGAAGAGGGACTGAACTCTCAGTCTGGCACAGGGTGTGAGGGCAAGGGGCAGCGGCAACTCAGCAGTACCAACCCAACAAGGTGAGCTCAAGGACATGCGTGTAGCCCATGTACAAACGCCTCCAAAGGCTCCATCTGAGGCCTTGGTAAAATGGCACTGAGCCATTTTTGTATAGCACGAGGAAGAAAGTGCATGCTCCTCACGAACAATCCAACTGCTCGTTCTCTTCCCTCCATGAGCTTCATTCTTCGGAAGTACACAGCGGGAACCCCTGGCTCTGACCTGCCCGTCCCGAAAATTTGGAAACGAACACGTTCGTACACAATGGCTCGGCCGGCAGCAGCTGCAGAGGCCGCAGTGCCAAAGCCCAGCCCCATGCAGGGACCGGGCTTTTCAACAGCCAGGCCGGGCCAGCTGCCGCCTGGGGCCCGTGCGGGCGGGAGAAGCAGGAGAGCCCCCGGGAACCTCCGGGATCGTGGCACCGGTGGCCCAGCCGTGAAGGATCGTCAGGGGATTCGTGACTGGATCGTGAAAGATTGTGAGTAGATCATGGGGGACGGCGATTTATCGTGCGGGATCGCAAGAGGAGATCGTGAGGGGCCCGCCGTGAGGGGCGGGCGGTGGATGTGACGCGCGGCCGCGCGCGGCATTGTGGGAGCTCCGCCAGCCCGTCCAGCCGATCCCGGTAGCCCCGCGGGCAGAGCGGAGCAGCGGGAGCGGCAGCGGGGACGGCAGCGGGGAAGGGAGCGGGGCCGCCGCCGGCCGACAGACCGGAGACATCTTGCCGCGCCGTAAGTCGCTGCCCGTGGCCCGCCTGCCGTGCGGGAAGGAGAGGGCGCGGGGGGCTCTGTCGCGGCGCGGTGACACCCGGCGGTCGGGGGGCCCCGAGGCTCGCTGTGGGACGGAAGGGTGCCGGTCCCCTGCCTTGAGGGAAACCGGGAGTTGGTTCAGCTGATTCTTGCTGTGCCTCGGGTGAAACCGGGAAATCCACTCGCGCCCCGCGAAATGGTGGCAGTGGGGCTGTATTTCTATGGAATCCGCTATGGAATGACGGTGTGGGGCTGGCAGGAGTCCGCCGAGGGTGCAGGAACGGCCGGGGGTGTGGAGCCGCGGTCCCCCACGTCCCTGCTGTTCCACGTACGGACTGCCTCCGTCCTCGTCGTTCCCACCGCGGGTCGCCGAGAAGGGGAGGGTAATCTAGGGAGACTGCGAAAAGCACAAGGCAAAAAACGGCAGGACGCGTTTTCCGTGTAATTCACTTCGGGATAAAGAACCCGTGGTGTAAAAGTTACCTGCCTCTTGTGAATGACTTAATTTAAAAAATGCCAGATGATGTATTTTAAACCGTAAGCAAAGGCTTCCGAGAGTAGTAAAAATAAATGTTTGTCTGGAAACAGGGCTCCTTATTCTTTTAGGACTCTCACTTCTTGTAGAGGCTGCAATATGTCTGCCTGCAGGATTTGAGCAGCCCATACGGACTGTCTGGGTGTGGGTGTTCCTCCAAGGGGACTGTGAGTACTGCAGGGCGCAGGTGAATGCAGGTTCCTGAGGCACCGCACCGGCTCCAGCACAGGAGCGCTGGGACTGAGACTCGAAGCTGACGTGTTTGCGTGTGTAGGAGACAGTGAGGGCAACAGACTGCTTCTGTGACTTGCATCTCCCTGTAATCCTTTTGTTTTTTCTGTAATCTTTAAAAGTAAGTTGTAGAAGGCCCATGAAATTATGTCTGAAGGCAGCAGTTGGAGCTAGCTCCTATGCAAGCAGGATGGTGTAAAGCTGAGGTTGCTTAATTTGTGGAGATAGAAGGAGACTTGTTGTTGAAATATACTTGGATGAGACTTGTTATTTATCTCTTGACCATGCAAGTGAACAACCATTTTATCCTCAGAAACGTGTGTGGCTGTCACTTAGCAACAGGTCTACAGACAACTTGGCAGATCCACTGCCTCCCTCATTCTGAAGAGTAAAAGAAATAAATGAGGGAAGGAGCAAAAGTGCGATTAATAAAAACAGTACCTGGGTTCTCAGGGACAGCGCAGAGTTGAAAGACATGTTGGAACAAGACAATTACAGTTGTTTTGAAAAATGTGTTTTAATGCAGTTGGGTATGAAAGATTTTGCGCCAAGGAGTTCCTAGAAAACTATCCAGTGTGTTTGGAAGTTTGGGGCTTTTTTTTTAAGTGTTGTGAAAGAAAGGAGTTACATTGTTTACTTAGTAATGGTTGCAGGTTATTTTGCTGCATTATGTTTCATAACCTTTCACACTAATCTAGACCTCCTGGGTTTCTAAAGAGTAACTTTGCTTCGCTGTGTGTGCTGTATACCCTTCTGATTGCCAGTAAAGTCAAATGTTGACAGTGTAGATTAAGTCATAACTGATTTAAAAATTAGTGGCAAGACTAGAATTTGGCTTAATGACAGTAAAGTTGGTGGAGTGCTTAAGCACTGCTTATTTTGTAGATCAGTATGTGCAAAAAGAGAAGTCCACCACTGCAAGCTTAGTCTTAAAAGAAGCCAGTATGTTTAAATTAGTTGCCTAGTTCTGCCAATACGTAGAAATGAACTTTGATAAAAGATATTCTCTTGATAAGGTAGGTGATATAATCACATTCTGGAAGAATAGTCATGAACCTTTGCTCTCAGAGAAGTGCAGAAATAATTTTGTGCAACTCTGTCAGCTAGGATCAAGGCCTGCTGTCTGTTTCACAGAAAAGGTAGTCCTACTCCAGCAACGTTATAAAGTAGGGATAAAGGAGCAGGGATCTGGAACTGATGCCAAAAGAGAAGAAAAGAGTCTCCAGATAGATCCTCCACTGGGAGAGGAAATGTTGGCCCTGTGGGTAGTGCTGAGCATTAGATTTTGTCATCTCAAGAGGTAAAATTAGAAAAGAAAAATGCAGCGCTTGTGGAAAGACTGCAGGGCTGGCTTGGTAGGGAAGGATGCTGTGAACGCATAAAGAAGCTATAGGTTCCTTACCCAGACCAATTCTAAAGACAGGATGGTCAGGATTCAGCTCATAGTCCATGTTCCAGGAGTGATGCAAGAATCACACCATTCATGACCTCCTTGATGGGTCAAGTTTTTGCAATCCCTTCTCTGAGCAGTATAATATCTATTTTAAATTTTGTTTTCCATCTGAATTTTGCCTTGGAAGCATCCACATTAATTCTTTATTACGTTTTTATTTTCTCACAAAAATGTCAAGGGACAAAGTTGTTTTCAAAATGTTATTTAAAACAGTTTTCCTGCATTGAATTCACAAATGGTCCAGTGACTTAAGGCCTTCTATAGAGGGCTGTATGCTATCTAGTATACAAAAACCTATAATGTATAAATGGTTATTTCAGGCCAGTTCTCCCAGCAGTGGTCAGTGAAGACAATTATATTTACATTTTCCTGGCTATTGGTGGCAGGATGCCCAGCAGAAACACTTGTCACACTCCCAGCACTGTTCTTAGTGAAGGTTTGCACATTAAGGGGTGTTTGTTTTGGTGTTTCAGACGCACCGTGGGAGGGAGATACTTCTGCCAGTTGAATACAATTGTGCAGCAGTATTTTGTTCAGCACAGGTTTTGTGAAAACGTTATTCCTTTTTTTCCCATCCTTTATGTTACTGCTATAGGAATCCTAATTGTCTTACTCTAAAACAGAAAGTATGCCTATTGTGCATTCCTAGATGGAGACTGTCCTCTTGGTTTTCCAAATGAAAACAAATATATGGTGTTATCTTCTCAGATGAGAAGTTAATGGAGTTTTGGAACAGCTGTTTTACAACTGGTTTCACTCTTCTGTCTGTTTCAGACTCAGAGAGTTACTGCTTTGATAAAGAACTTGAGCTAAAGTTTGAAATCACATCAGATCAAATGATAGATGTGTAATTGGCCCTTTTTAGTACTGTTGTACCTAGAAGCCACAGTCCCAGGCAAAGACGCTGTTGTGCCAGGCAAGTATTATTAGAGACCATTCTCTACCATTTTATAAAAATGCCAGAGCAGCTTCTGATTAGCTAAGAACAGAGCAAGTTCATTGTCACAGCAAAGTCAAATGTACCTTTTCAGCAAGTGTTCAGTGAATGGCTATAATTAGGGACATAAATAGATTTAAGAGAGAATGGCAGCACTTACATTGTTAATCTTTTGAAAAAGTGGAAAGAAAATAGTGTTGCAGTTCATCTCTTGTAATACAAACATGAACTTTCCAGCTTAGTCTTTGTACTGCAAGAAAAGAAAAATAATTACTACATCTTAGTGTTTTTCCTCTTGTAGTAATGATCTCCCGAATTCCACTACTTACTGATATGATGATGTAGATCTAAATTGAATCATCTCTCTGCTGAGTGCAATTAATACACCAGTGTAAGCCCATGCTCAGAACAGTCTCTGACAGCTGTAAGATTCGTAGTAATTTGTTTAGTCATTAAGAACCAGTACCTGAAAACTGTTAATAACAGACTGTGTTTATTATTGCTGTCTGATCAACTGAACTAATGAAGTTCTGGTATTTGGAATTTGGATATAGCTTTAGCTTTACCAGGATGTTCAGGTTATACTTCAAGGATTATGTGATGTTAAACCTTACAGAAAAAAGATGCCTATGTGCATTTGAGGAAGATGGTATTTGAAAGTGTGGTTCAGCAGAGTATCTGTCTTCACACAGAAAAATATAGCCAACGAGAGTTACTCCAGCAAATTTCAAAGATAAAAATGCTAATTATGCTGATTTCATTGCATCAACCTTAAGATTGTTTCTTAGGAAATGTATTTCTGGCTCACGAAGACATGACAGCAGAGGAGCCTTGTAGCTTGAATCTTTGCTGTGACCCAGTTAATACACCTTCAAATCTTGTTTATGCATTTGGAGATCTTAGAAAGCTGTGTGACTCTTACCACAGTCTTTAAGGGGTTTCAAAAGGCTGTGAATCAAGTGCTAAATTCTGTATTTAGGGCAATCTGTGTCCAAGCACAGCAGTCACTGAAGAAAATAGTGTTAAATTTGATTTGAAGTCAAAGGTGAATTTAGATACTTGGCTCCTCAGTGATATCCCCTGATTATCACAGTGATAATTTTGTGACTTCTCACATTGAAAAAAAATAATTTTATTGTCAAATCTTTGGAGACTTTGCAATGTATTTGGTAAAGTTCTGAAAAATTCCATTGCAAAGGCAGGACAGAAGAAAGAAAGGAAAGTACTGGTCCATTGACTGTGATTTATTTAAAAATATACTGCTCAAATCTTGTCTGAACTATGATTCGTGTGATAAGGTTGCCTTCGGTTGCCTCTCTGATCTGTGGGCTCCCAGTGACTCAGCAAACAGCTCTAGTTCATTAGTGTTGGCAGCATTCCAGAGTTTCTGGTGTTACAAAGATAAACCATTTCAGAACCTGTAAGGCATACAGCCTCCTTTGGTTTTTGATCTGTTGCCATGCTCTTTATATTTCTCCTCAATACATTTTATTGTGGCTTTTGCAAGTGAAATCTTTCCCTTCTCTTTTTCGGTGAAGAACTAAAAATAGGGAAAAGACATCTGACAGTTGGTTGGGCCATGCTGCAGCTCAAAGGCAGGACAAACAGGTTCTGCAAAGTAATGATCCTGAATACACAAGCTCTGAGAAAGGTTTCAGTGCCAGGCTCTCACTTTCACCTTCCAAATTACGTGGTTGGTAACAGTAAAAGTGGTACTTGAAACCTAATTGAAGTTTTCCTCCCTCCACCCCCAACATCTAAACAATCTGAACATCCATGGAGGAATGGGTCCTTGGGATGGGAAGGTCTGAAACTCATCTGTATCACATTTCACCTTTAATACTAAAAGTTTCAGAAGTTCTTGATTTTTTTCATTATGCAGCCCTGTGCACCAGCATCTTTCAGATTCAGACAAAGTTTGTCCTCAGAAATAAACTTACAGCTAGAAAGGTCTTTAATGTTCCATATAAGGGGACCAGGTGAATTGTCGAGATAGGTTCAGGGTATCCTAAATATTAATTTTAGTAATGTGACCAAATGCATAAAATAAAGAGATAAATTACCCGTAGAATTTGCAGGGGTGATAAAAGAAGCTTATGGAAGAGAAAAATGTACACCATTTTATATATGGGTTGGTGTTATTCTGTATTACTACCTACTTTACTAATGCTTTGGTGCAAATGTTACAGCAGCTGTTAGCTAAGATGACACTCTCCCAAAGAAAGAAAACATTAGGAAATAAGGATTTCCATATTCTCTTCCACCTCTTCTGATAGCCCATAAACTCACTAAATGATTAATAGAAGTTAACTGCTTAAGGCTTGCAGGCTTTCTCTAGAAATACTGTGTTTTTCATCATTGACCTCTCAGTTACAAACCAGATATATTGCGGGACAGCGCAGATATTTCTTACGCCCCTTTCCATGGTGTTTGATTCAATGAACCTCTTAACATTTGAGGCAAAACATCCCTAGTACTGTTGATGAAAATGGATTATGAAATATGAAAATAATTCCTGGCAGAAGGTCCATAGAGGAGTCAAAGCCCCACCCAGTCTTCCTGCTAACAAAGGCAGAGCTAATGAGATGAGAAAATGCAATTAAATGGGTGTTTTTAAAATCATTGGTGAGCTGCATTTGGGTCATTTCTCAAGGCAAGAAAATTGGCTTTTGTCTTCTTCTTCACAGAATAATGATTGTTACAGAGCTGAGTTCACTATAGATGAAAGGAGAAGGAGCCCTTTCGACGGCTTCCCCTTCCAAAACATTCCTCTCTGTTTCTGGACATGAGTGTCCTAAATGTAGTGTGGCTTTCATCTGATCTGCGAAGATGGGATTATTTTGTTTAGCTTTACAAAACAGTAAACCCATTGCATTTAATTTACTTAATGTGCTGTGCGGGTGTAGATTCTTATGAATGGAATGTGGAAGTTGAAAGGAAAAGAAACCTCTCATACTCATGTTCCTTTAGCTATCCTGACTGGTCTTTTTTGGGCCTGAATCTTATGTATGTATGTATTATGAATTATGAATACATACTACATATTATATATGTATTATGAATATAGCGTGAATCTTATTGACTCATTGAGAATTGAAGGACTGCAGGATGTGTCAGCACAGAACAGAAATTGCAAAACCTAGAAGTGGTGTTGATGAACCTGTTTTGCCTATTTCTGAGATCGCTCCATTGTGGATTCAGGCATGTGGGAAATACAGTTAGGTTCGTAAGGGCAAGGAGAGAATTCAAAATAAACAAATGAAAAATAGAGGAAGTAGAGAAATGGTGCGATGGGAAAGCAAGATTAAGAGGGTTTTCATTGTGGAGTGTATAAACACATCGGTGAATTTGCATGTGTGTTAGGTAAGATTTGTGCAGCAAAGGAAGAAGTGGGATGCACAGAGGTGTGTGTGTGTGTGTATCACTGATGCATTCCACTGGTTTCCCTGGAGTTCAGACATGAGGGGGAGAGATGGGGAGATGAGCACTGTCTCCTTTCCTCTGAGGTAATTTCAAAACCCAGTGAGTTGCCTAAACCTTCAAAGACACCATGAGAGCCTGTGAACCCTCCACCTCTTTGGATTTGTCAGTTTCTATTTACAACCTGAGCAGAAATCAAAGAGAGGACAGAATATGTTTGACAGCTGTATCAGCAGTAGGTTCCCTCAGCGAAATAAACTGAGATACAGTTGTCAGATACGTGCTGGGTGTTCAGATCACTGTGCTGTTAGGGAAAGGTGGCAGATAGAAGATGGCCAAATTCCTGGAGAGAAGTTGAAGTGTAGAGATAACTGAGTTTTGGTAGATTCAAATCTCAAGGGAGTAATTTCAACTCTTTCTAAAAATAGAACATTTACTGTACAGGAGATGTATTTTGCCATCCGCAGTCCTTTCTTCTGTCAATTCTCACAGATCTGGAAAACTGAGTTTTTTAAAGGAGATGAATGGACTTTATGAAAGCTTTAGTGTATACAGTTTCTCCTAGTTTGGAATGTAATTATGCATGGACATAACTGCCCTACCACAGCTGTTCAAATGCCCTATCAAAAGTTTTTCATGGAGGTCAGGGTGTTGTGTCAGTCCCCTCACAGAAAGCATCCTCTGCTTCAATGAAGAAGTTCTATTTTAAATCCAGTACTTACCACTCTTCGTTCCATTAGTGGTACTGGGTTTAATCTGTTGGGAATTTCAGGAAAGTAGATTTTTAGGAAGTAACTTGTTTTAGATATTTTCCGTATAAAATTATGCCAAATTACAATGGGAAGTAAACATTCTGTGGGAAATTAGTTTAGGTTCTTGTTGTGCATATGCTAAAAAGGCAACTTGTCTCTGTGTTTTAGACACTCTAATGCATTTTCTGCCCCAAAATGCTGATTTACCTTGGAATTCAGTGTGTGATCTTATAGTATGAGTCCTTATTAATAACCTTTTCTATTTCTTCCTTTTTTTTTTCCCCTTTCTTCCTAAATATAGAGTGTGTTTCAGATCTGATACAGACAAGATGTCCAGCAGGGGTGGAAAGAAGAAGTCTACCAAGACTTCCCGCTCTGCAAAGGCTGGGGTCATATTCCCTGTTGGACGGATGCTCCGGTACATTAAGAAAGGCCACCCGAAGTACAGAATTGGTGTTGGTGCTCCTGTGTACATGGCCGCTGTACTGGAATATCTAACTGGTAGGTTTTGCTGAATTATGTGAAATAGTAGCAGTAAAAGTTAAACTGAATTTGCACAGAAAAAAAACCAAACTAAAAAAGTTACAGCTGAAGTGCATATTATGCTGATCACACATCTAAGCCAAAATCAAGGTACCCTCGCCCCTGCCTCAGAGCCTTGATGACTTTTGTTCATTCCAGCATAGAATTTGCTTTCACCACTTGTAAAAACATACTCCTTCCACACAGACAGTCAGGGTTCCCACTGCCATCAGTGTGTGTGGACTACATTGTTGCACTTCTCCTTGCTTTGATTTTGTGCCTGATGACTTTGTATGGATTATAATTGTCTGTTAAGCATATACATTAATTTTAAATAGAGAGCTTCTCTATGTTTATGCAGGGCTGAGACTGCTTACAGCCTTGTTTAAACATTTTTGCTCAATTTACAGATTTCTTTTCAGACTGCACATGCTGTTTGCAATTTGTTTGATTGAGTCTGTGTATACAATACACACTGTTCATCTGCCCTCGATCTATGTAGCTTATTTGCTTACAATTGTAGTTCTTGCTCTGTTCCCTTCATCACATCAGAACGAGAATACCTTAAATAACTATCTCATCCTCACCTTCTCACAAGACAAGAGTATTATTTTTCTTCCATTTAGAAAGAAGCTTCAAAGGAAGAAAATGCTTTGCCCAATGTCATAAACAACCAGACATGCAAGGAAAGATCTTTACATAGCTGTTTTGTTCTCAAACAAAACTTAAGACATTGCAAGTTTGCCTCCCCAAACAACAGTAAAAATGCAGTCTTTTGACAGAAAACCCTGTCAACTGTAATAGCATCAGCATATTGGCTTTTTGAAATAATGGTTTGCTTAAAAAAAAAAAAAAAAAGATAAGAAGGTTCAGTCACCTTCATGTAGTCAGGTTGACATCTTAAGTATATACCTGTGGTATAGGACTCTAGCAAAAAAAGCTCAAGTACCAGATAGATGAGTGTTTGGAGCCAGATTCTATTAGCATGATGAAAGAAAAGCTTGAATTGGATCTTATTTCTCAAGGCACTGTTTTTTTTCCAGTGCATCTGCTTGTATCAGTGTTCTTGCCATAGGTTCAAGTGTTTCAATGGACAGGAGACTTTAAGCTGTATTGGTGTGACAATAGGTACAGGTTTTTCTTTTACTCAAGCACAAAGTTATAAAGCACTGACTTTTCTGGGAGTATTTAAAACTGGAGCAACCTGACCTTACCACAATTTTAGACACGTTTTATAATGGCTCTTTTGACATTGAAGGACAAAAGATTTCTTCCTATCAAGTTTTTTCTTCCCCTAAAGACAAAGATTGGTAACATTACTAAATAATTGAGTGCTTGTTTTCTGTAGGGTATTCATACCATCAAATATATTTTTTTACCCTCATTTGCTCATAATTCAGTTTTATTTATTTGGGCCTTTTCTTTAAAAGGACACTTTTAAACTTCATAGATAGCCTTAAAAAAATTAACATTTCCTTTAGCTAGGTTCCTGCTTACAGCAATAACAACGCAAATAAGAGGCTTCTTAGGGTGAAGGGTGCTTTGAATGCTGTCCTTTTAAAGAAACAGAGCAATAAAGGTGAACTTAAGGCCCTGCTAATGAGCAGCACGTTGCTGGTTGACTGAGGCAGCGATAGTTTTGGCAGTTGAGAATAGGCTGGGGAAATAAATGCGTTTCCTTAACTGCTGCGCATCTTGGGAACCTGTCTGAGCACATTGCAGACAGCAACAAAAAAAAACAAAACAAAAAGCAAGGGAAAGTAACATACATCACTTTAGGAAAAATAAAAGGCAGGAGGAAAGAATAGCTAAAGGAAAAGGTACTTCTTTATCCCTTTAACTATTTTTAGGCAGTTTTGCTGTAGTTTTTCTGTCATCTCTAAAGGCTAGGTAGATAATCCTAGTAAACTATGTACAGGAATGAAAGAAAATCCTGAGATATAGTTGCATCTCAAAAGCACAGATACTCCTTTCTTTCTGGAATTGGTACTGGTTTTGTCATAGAATGATTTGGCTTGGAAGGGATCTTGAAGTTCATCTTGTTCTAATCCCCCTTCCATGGACAGGGATACCTCCCACTAGACCAGGTTGCTCCAAACCATATCCAGTCTGGTGGCCTTGAGCTATCTTGGCCATTTCCAGAAATGGTGCAGCCACAGCTTCTCTGGACAACTGTGCCAGTGCCCCAGCACACTCATAGGGAAGAATTTCTTCCTAATATCTAATCTAAATCCTGTTTCAATTTGAAGTGGTTCTCCCTTGTAGTCCCATCATTACAAGTCCTTCCCTCTCCCAATTTCTTATAGACCCCTTACTGTTCCAATCTGGTGGGTTTTTTTTTTCTTTTCTCTAAGTTTTTCACACTCTGTATAGTATAATTTTTTAGCCCTTAGTGCTCAGTATGTTTTCTGAACTTGAGGTCATTCATCTTTTTCAGTGTAATTCAGAAACAGCCCCTTGAAGTTGAATGCTTGGGGATTTTTGGTTTGTGTTGTTTTACCTCTTGGCAGTTACTACTTCACAAAACCAGAGAAATCCTGACTTCTCTCCAGGAGAGTTTTTAAAGATCCTCATGTTAGCACATGGTATGAGACCAAATCAAAGCATTTCAACAATTTCAAAGTAAAACCAGGAACGTGACATAATAGGAAGGAAACCAGGTGAACTGGCATGCTAATAAATTGGCTAAATCAAAAAGCAATCCTGTGCATCCAGGAAGAAGTATAAAGTATCAAAAGCAGTCATAGGAAAGAGAAACTTCAGAAACAAAAACAGGTGGGGAAATGACAGAGACATGACCTAATAGAAAGGAACCTACTAAGGTTTAAAAACTGTTTCAGCAGCAGTGTGCAGAATATGGAACCAACTTTATTCCTTTAGAAGGTGAGGTGCTAAATTTTGCTAGCCTTTGCTGAGGTTTAACTTCAATGTAAATCTGAAATTAGCCCATAATGTGCTCAGATCTGGAATGTTTTGTTCAATTTGAGATTTGAACTTCTGAAATGCTTACAGAAGTTCTATTCTGGATTCATCTGGAGTTATGACTTACCCACTTTGTACTTTGAAAGTAGCTTATTTTTATCATGTACGTACAGCTTCTCATCAGAAAATAAGAGTACACGTTCTGTGATTTCTCATATCCTTAGATTTCAATATACTTCACATTTAAACAAGTTGCACAGTGAGTATCCTCCTTTTCTTACGTATTCACTAAAGGTTCTTCCTACCTAGAAGAAACATTAGAAAATAATTCTCTCATCAGCACAAGCAGTGTATCCAGTTTGGTGTCTTAAGCTAAGTTGCTTATTGTTTCCTGTTGTTTATCTATGGAAACATTGTGTTATATCCACTGTAAATAGTGTGTCTTTCACGGGTAAATGTGCAGAAGATACCTTAGAGTGTTACCAATATTGAAGTAGGTGGATATACTTCCTTTCTTTACCTTGAGGAATAGTGTGGATGCCAAAGAACTATAAATGCACAGTTCTTGTTTCTTTTCCTTCTTTGCAGCAGCAGTTCATGCAGTGCCTCCTGCCTTGCAGGGAATAGTCAGAATAGTGGATCAGTTCTGAAGGATAAACAGAAATTAATTTTAAGCATTATCAACAGTTTTCAGTTGGCATGTTCATTGTTCGTAATTCCTTTTGTCTTCTTTCTTTACTGCACTTATTTTCTAATGGTTCCTTGTCTATTTGTCTTGTCTAACATGGCCTTCAGAAAACTGCAATCCTCTCCTTAATTTCTCTGCAAAGTAGTGCATCAGTATCAGTTTATGTCAGAAAAGAACTCTAGGTCAGTCAAGAGAATGGCCCCAGACTTCATCTGGGGCATTGCAGCCACTCACATGAATTTTGGTGGTTTGTATTTGTCAGAACTGGTCCTGCCATACATCTCATCAGATGTGGTCTTTTCAGATGTAGAGTTTGCACAAGTTACAATATGTAATCCAACCTTTCTTACTTAATGGAAAAAGATACTCCTTTGCCCTTGAAAACCAGAAATCTCTTGAGCATATTTAAAGGCAGAAAGAGCCAGGCCTGCAAGTGATTTCTGCTCACCCCATCATCTGTTCTACACTGTGAATAATTTTCAATTGCCAAAATGTCATAGCAAATGTGGAGAAGGAAAAGTTTATAAAACAGCAGAAGCACAGGAATACAGAAGAAATGAGAGTCTAGTTTATATTTGTTATGTACATATGAAGGTAGGAGAAAATGTTAAATACCTATTTTCTCCATTAGATCTTTTTCTCAGATGTGCTTTTGGGGTTTTTTGCACAGGGGTACTGTTGATCGTATATTTTCTTGAAATGTAAAATAAGCACTTCTTGAACCTCACGGTTAGAATTGCATCTGAGGCGTTCCTGTGTTTATCCAAGTTTTTGTTTTCAGGCTTTCTGATGTCACCAGAATCAAATAATGGGAGTCATGTGCTGGAGCTCAGTTCATTGTGGTTTTACTTTGATGAATTTTCAATGTGGGCAAATTCAGCTGCTGACTGGCTGCAAAAGGAAAGTCCTTCCTGAGAGCAGTAGGTTTAACTGCTCACTTTAGAGGCTCACTTTGCAATGTACAAGCTGAACAAATTGAACTGCTGTTCACCTCTTGCGTTATGCACACTGATAAAAATCTTCACAGGGTCATAGAGGAAAACAATGATTTTGCCTTCTCTGTCAAAGCAGATGTTCCACTGAACTCCTACTTGGAAGCAGAGGGGAGCTCAGGGGTCCACAGTAAAAAAAAAGCATTAGGTTAAAATCAGATTCAAGTTCCAGGCAGTCTGAGATTCTCATAAACAACTGACCTTGGAGAGTAATGAAATTTAAGAAGATAATTAATTGGCAATATCTTTTTGATACCACTGAAATGTGCATTCACTACCAAGATACATTTCTTCTATTCAAACAGGCAAACTTTAGAAACACTACTTCATTTTATGGTGGTGCCACAAACTCTGTTCCAGAGATGCCTGAAGTAAAT